TTTTTTTTAGATGAATTAAGCGGTGTTGAATTCTTACATCTTCGTATGGCTGCTGATAAATTTCTTCCTGGAAAAGTCATTGATAATTTGCAATTATTTATGGAACAAAAGCTAGAGGAGTTTGTACAGCATGATGCTGTTGGCATGCTTCAGGAAGTCTTTAAACATAACAATAGTATATATAATCCATTACGTGATTCCTGTCTTCGTCTCATTTGTAGACATCCGAACGCATTATTTGATCACCCAAATTTTACTCAATTGGACGAAGCCCTTTTATTAATCGTTTTGCAATTGGATGATCTTGGTAAATTAAGTGAAATTACTATTTTAACTTATTTAGTCAAATGGGGGATTGCTCGAATATTAAATGCTACAACTAAAGATATAACAAAATTGCAAAAATCTGATTATATTGAGTTGCAAAAAATTATCGTGGATTGTATTCCTCTTATTCGGTGGTTCCAAATTCCAATAACTGAATTTCGGCAAAATATATCGTGGATCGAAAAATTATTATCTTCAAATCTATATTTAGATATCGTAAATTATCATTTTGACGATACCATTACACCCGAAACTGTTAAAATTTTGCCACCAAGAAATCTACCACCTAAAGATTCTCAAGAAATTCCTAAAAAGTCTCTTAAGAAAAAGGTTTCTTTTTATGAGGATCTTGCTCATGATAATGAAAGATTACTTCAAAGCGGAAAAGGTTATGATGTTATTATTCACGCTGGTGATGGAGATAATTCCAAAGAATTTCATGCTCATTCTCTTATATTAAGTTTGCATTCCCCTTATTTTGAAGCTGCTTTTTCTAACGAAAATACCATGAAACAAGGAAATATTTTTGTTTTTACAAAACATGTTCCTGCAATTGTATTTGAAATGATTTTAAGGTAATTTATAATTGATGGTTACTTATATCTTAATTAATTTTTGTTTCTTACAAAACCTCTTGTTTTTCTTTCAAAGATATTTATATACATCAGAAGTTTCTCCTGACAAATTAAATGGTGTTGAAATCTTACAACTTTTGGTAACAGCTGATGAGTTACAACTTCAAAATCTTGTTGAAAATTTTCAATCTTTTATGAATCAGAAACTTGAAGAAATTATGCGTGATGACATTATTTCCATTTTCGATATGATCTTTAAATATAATAACAGGATATATGAATCACTGCGTGATCAATGTCTTCATTATATTTGTATGAATCCAAAATTATTATTTGATGATCCAAAATTTATTCATTTAGATAAATCTTTATTAAAACTTACGTTACAACGGGATGATCTTGGCAACATAAGTGAAGATGATATTTGGAATTATTTAGTCAAATGGGGAATTGCTCAAACACCTGACATTATTCAAAGTAAAAACGTTAATGATTGGAAGGAAACTGATTATGTTACTTTTAAAGTGACCATTCATGAATTTATTCCCTTAATTCATTGGTTTCAAATCTCATCTACAACATTTAAACATGATTTATTATTCTTTGAAAAGATTTTAACTAATGAATTATATAATGATATATTACAATACCATCTTAATTCTATCATACCAAACAGAACATTTAGAACATTACCACCTAGATATTCTCCTTCCAATCATATAGCTTTTGTTAGATCGCAACATTTTAATATTATTTCAAATTGGATTAGTGTGTGTACTGTTGAAAAAACTCCTGAGACTAAACGAAAAAGGCAATCATTCATGGAAAAAATATTACACTTTCATGATAAGTCAAGTGTTAAACCCGAAGAATCTAAACGGGAAAGCACTATTCCTCAAAATTACTTGAACTTTGCCGATTATAGATTTGCTAGTCATAATCTTGATAATATTTCCTACTATTATTTCAATCTTCTTTATTGTGCTAAAAGGGATGGATTTGAAGCAGAAAAGTTTCATAAATTATGTGATAGAAAAGGATCAACCGTGACAATAGTAAAAATTAAAGGAACTGATGTGATATTTGGTGGTTATAATCATTTAAGTTGGGAACCTTATGAACCTAAAGATTATATTACTATGGCTCATTACGCAAAAGCGGATAAAAATTTTTTATTTTTTTTCGAAAGTGCTGATGATTTAAGTCGTTCTAATTTTGCACGTGTTAAAAAAGACTCTTACGCGGTTGAATATAGTTCTTTAAATGGTCCTATTTTTGGTCATTCTGATTACAAAGAAGGTTATGATATGTGTATATATAATAACTTATTATCTTTTGGGAGACGTAATTGTTATCCAGATTCAAAAAATTTTCCAAAGGTACCAAAATTTGAAATAGAAGATTATGAAGTTTGGCAAATAACTTATATAAATTTATGCAATTATAATTATTAATATAAATGTATATAGTTATATTATTTATTTATTACAAAATGAAGCTACAGTATTATCTATTATATGTTTTT